AAAACAATATTTAGATAGTCGTGAACAATGTGTGGAAATATCTTGTGAGGAAAATGCAATGGTGAAACAAGTGAAGTCTGAGTATCTTGTAAATAGCTATGGTGTTCCGCAAGGAAGTATCCTGGGACCACTCTTTTTTCTTATTTATATTAACGATTTGCCTGACATTATATCCGATAAATGTATACTATTTGCAGACGACATTTCCATAATATTGACATATGATAATTTAATTTATAATGATTTTGACAGTGAAATAAATAATACTATCGATTTAGTTGTAGGATGGTTAGCAAGGAACAACCTACAAGTAAATATCAGTAAAACGACCTTCATGCAATTTCAGACCCGTGGCTCTGCGACTATTCCAAGGCAAGTCTTGTATGATGGTACAAATATCAACGAATCTACCAATGTAAGATTTCTAGGATTCACAATGGACAAATATTTGGATTGGAAAGCACATGTTAATGACGTCTGTAGGAAAGTTAACTCTTTTGTTTACGTGCTAAATAGACTTAGAACTACATCAGCCCAACAAACGGTATTGTTAGCATACCATGGTTATGTGGCTTCCGTGTTACGATATGGATTGATATTATGGGGAAACTCAACAGACTTACAACGGGCATTTCTATCCCAAAAACGTTGCATAAGAGCCATTGCTGGTATTCCCCCATATGAGTCCTGTAGACCTTATTTCAAGAAGCTCAGCATACTACCTTTGCCAAGTATGTATATCTTCGAAATCTGTATGTTTGTAAAGACTAATCCTAACCTATTTATAAAAGCATGTGACATCTACACACGTGACAATACATATCCACGTAGCTCAAGACATGGTCAACGACTAGTGTTAGAATTTGTACCAAAAACAGCAATGTTTAAAAAAAATTGTTCAGCAATGTGCGTAAAAATTATAATAGGTTACAAACAACAATCCAAGATCTTCCTTTACCAAAGTTCAAGAAAGTGCTAAAAGAGTTACTTCTTAAGAAAATGATTTACTCTATAAATGAATGGTTTCAAAAATAGTTTTAATGTAAAAACGACTACTGGCTTGTATGTTAAAAGGGACATTGTTTAATATGATAAATTTTTAACTTATTTTATTTAACTGTAAATAGTATTTGATGACAGAGTTTAAAATTGACATTGTTTAGCAAAATAAAATATTTGACTTCATACTTGTATTGGACTCCGACTCTAATTTAATTGAATTATATTGTGAATGTTATTGAATTGGATTATTATTGAATATAATTATGTACTACCATTACTTTCCTTTATTAAATGTACTTAACTTCACATGCCCTAAGCAGGCTAAATAGACTATAAGAACAAAGTATGTAACATAAAAACCATCAAATGTAATAACTCTATTTAAATGTGAATAAATGAATTTTGAATTTTGAATTTTTTGAATTTTGAATTTAAAATAAAACCGAATATATCCGGGTGGGGCCACTTCAGTCAGTTTGTTGGTCATGGATCCATAGAATTATACATAAGAGGGATTTTAATAAAAAAACTTGTACAGACAAATAAATGAAGTGATAAAATGGCTGTATCAGTGAGTATGTTATCAATATGAATGTCAAATAAGTTCTATGTCAGAAATAAGGTTAAATTGTTATGCTGGTTATGTTAAAATGTTATAAGGTTAAATAGTTACTTGTTACAAACATTTGTGTACATATAAGAATAATATAAGTTAGAATTCAATAACGAGGTTACTTAAACAGCTGTTTAAACGGTGTGCTTAGTAATAAGGTACATATTGTGTACATTTTAATAAAGTAATTACTTTACTTTCCGATTTCTAAACTTATAAGTAAATTTATGAAAAAAAAAACTTACCAAAGTTGTAAATCAGTTGCAAATCAATTGCTAATAGTACTAATTACAACACTAATTTTCATTTTTTAGTTTTTATTTAATTAAACTGTTGTATTATATATTTAAACTCAGTGAAAACTAGTACCTTTACAACTTTAAATACTTTGTCACGGAATTTAAAGATAATTAATAGTTGTGACTTTATTTCATGCCAGTTATTGATGACCAGATAGCATAAATAGCAGGGTAGACCATAAATAATAAATACCATAGATAAAAATGCAATTAAAATTAGTACTGATCATGGAATGGTGGGTAACAAACTTATATTTTAAACTTTAAAATTAATTTAGCAAAAAAATTAGTCCCCTTAAATTTTAAAAATCTTATTAAAAAGGTAAAATGGACAACTGGATTTGGAGGTCTCTCTAGTTTGCTTCATATTTTATTATAAAATCTCTTTGATAGAGTTTTTCATTGATGTTAGGGTTAAAACCTTGTAAATACCTGTTGAAATATCATACCCTAAATTTGTTCATACAAAAGCAGTCTCTAAACATGGGAATAAGGTCTATAATTTAGTTAGTGGAGAGATCCCAGAGAATCCCCAAGCGGTCACCAGTGACCACTTGGAGATTAAATGGATTAAAAATGCAAAATTATAAAAACTTACTTGTATCCAGCCTTCTCCAAGACCTCCTTAGCAGAAGTGTGTGCAAAGGTGACCTCTTCACGCATCTTGTCAGCAGTCTTAACGAAATCACCCTTGAGATCAGTCTCCTTTTCGAAGAAGCCGATGACAACCACCTCATCCTTCTTCAGGAATGCTTCGTAATCAGCAACAGTCTTTAGTTCCTTAGAGCTGGGCCCAACTTGAGCACGCATGTATTTCACAATGCCATCTGTGAGCAAAATGAAAAAGAGGTTGGTTAGGTTTAGAATTTTTTTAAATTACTGTTTTGATGTTATTGGAAACATTTTAATAAATTAATTATTGTGTTTTCGGCTTACACACATAACTGTTTGAGATTTTAATGAGAGTGAGAAACAATTATATCACTACTTTTCACTAGACATAAATTGATTACATTTAAACTGTCAAACACCAAGCGGTCACCGGTGACCGCGACCTATTGTTCTTTAATTGTGTCTATAAAACCGGTACTTGACGAGTTAAGTAACATTAATATTGATTGTTTGAATACTACCCTTTTATCTGTTGAAACACTGGCTCCCGGTATAAAACACATTATACCCACAACTTTCAACAGACAAGAGGCTATAAAGTTTTTAAAGTATTATTACAATAATGCAATAACTTAAATTTAATTTTCAAGTTGTTAAATCAACACATTTTTATTTACTTGACTGACAAATTACATAAATCTTATTGGAATCCATTATAACTCATATTAGTTTTTAGCCTTTCAAATATGGTGTTGTATTTCTTGTATATGTTATCAATACAACAGGAAATTGAAACAACTGCTTTTATCTGCCCCTAACAACATTAATAAATAAAATAAAATTAGATATTTAGCTTTTCACTTTCCTGTTTTGAGAGGACAGATAAATAAGTGTTATAAACCAATGTTCAGCAAATAGGTTTAAATATATTTTATAATTGTCTTTGGAATGGCAATTCAGATTTAAATATAGAATAGTGTTGCTATTACAATTAACATGGAATGTATGTGTGTGGGAATCACTAAAATATAATGTCTATAATGAATTTTACTCATTCAGAGAGAGACAAATGGAATTGAAGTTTCTAAAGGTAACTTTCTAAAAATTCATGGTTTGTAGAATAATAATGTTTGTTTTGTGTTGATGAATATAATGTAACCCAGTTAAATGATATTTCATATAAGAATTATATGAGGCAAGTACACAGGATTAACTAATTCAAATTAGAATTGGTTATTTGGACAACCATATACTTATTGGATAAATTAAAAAGATTCTCTATAAACCCTTTCATTGTTTGTGTACACAGTACAGATAAGTTATCATACTACCCTCACAGTATAATTAATATAAAGATGTGTTTCATGTAATAAAAATCAATAAATTGTTCTAGAACTTACTTGATTCCCTGGGGCCATTGTACTCCTGGGAAACTTCTCCCTTTCTGAAGATCTTCAGTGTGGGGTATCCTGACACTGAGAACTGCTCACATGTGCTCTTGCCACCCTCAGTACAGTCTACCTTCGCCAGCGCGACAGGAGGGTCATCGTTCTTTAGCACGCCGGCCGCTACCGCGTACTCCGGCTTCAATCTCTTACAATGACCGCACCTAACCCACAATTACACACGTAAATCAAACAACCAGCTCATTAAACGCCATTCATAAGTTTACAGTTACGATAAATCATTAATTACTCACCATGGTGCGTAAAACATGACAAGAGCAGTATCATGTTGGCTCAACACCGACGAAAAGTCGGAATCTGTAAGATCCAATACATCTTCTTCGGCAGCTCTACATAAATAAATTACACCTAATAATAAAACAATTTTTAGTGACCCCAACATTTTTAAATTTTTATCGGCACTTCTTTAAAACCGTGCGCGATTCTTCGCCGTCCAAGTGAAGCTGAGAAAACTATGCAGAGCCAGAAAGGACAAGGACCGGAAAAATACACGTATGATGCCGATGATGACACTTGCCGGCACAGCGTTGGCTGATTCTGATTGGTTTATTTTTGTTACGTTCGGAAATTGTTGAACATAATGTGTCAGTCTGAAACAAAATGTTTTAATACTAAAATTAGAGTCATTGTGTAAACTATGTATAAAATATTTCATAATTATAATTTAGTATTTCCTAACAAAATAATTATTTCACCTCGACACGGTAAAGAAAACATATTTCTACCAGTTAGGGATACCAGCAGTAATAAGACAAAATTAAATAAACCATGCATGTTGGATGTTCGTACAAGATTTCGATGCAATTTGGTGCCGAAACTTTCTGTTTAATTGTTTTACATAATCATTAAAGTATGATATTGCATTATATAAACTAAATTCGTTTTTATGCAACTTAATTTTACATTTCGGTAGTTTTAGATTTCAGTAATATGTAGGTCCTATATTCATAGTTGTGGTAATACCAATATCGAGGCTTTTTGTCAGTTGGCTTCGCTGTCAAACGGAAAATGGCAGCGACGAGTGTTGTCGTTCTCGATAGAGGCAACAATACAACTTGTACCGTAAATCTTTTCGGTAAGTAATGTTTTAAATTATTTTACAAGTCAACTATAATATGTCAGTTTAAAATTTCCATAATGTTACAAATTATCAGAGCATTTCAAGTGGCGGCAGTCTAACCTTAACTTCTTTATTTATTTTTGAAATTGTACGCGCGTAATTTTAAAATGTAATGTTTTTATTGTAATTTATACATCACAAATTATATTACATTATATTAATAAGTGTATGAAGTTACCGAAAATAATTTGTATGAGGTGTACGTACTGTAGTTAGTGGTGTTTAGTTGATAGGTAACTAGTTTTTTCATATTGAATAGAATAAGTTGTCTGCGGCGGTTCTGACCTTGGCTATTGGATTGTAGGAAGTAAACTGTAGATACTTGCTTTTAAATTGTAGGTTGGTATTTGATGTACTCACAAAAAATAATCATAAGTCATACTCTAGCAATAATTTGGCTAATACATTAGGAAATCAGGATGATCATGGTCATTAAAGTAAACTTAGCTGTAAAACTTGATGTTTATTTAATTGTAGATGCATTTTAACATATGTGAATATCTTACAAATAGTCACTTAAGAAGTACTAAATAAAAAAAAATTGCTATTTGCAAAGAGTTTGCAAACACTCTTTCCACCTTTCAAATATTTCATTTTGTTACAGGTGCTACAGTAGTATCATGGAGAGTGAACAATCAAGAACAGTTATTTGTAAGGTGAGTTTAAATTATAATTTACCGCACTATAATAAAATTAACTACCTGTGTTAACATCTATAAACAGATCTTTGTTATTTCTCTACTTACTATCAATAAATAAAACCTTAAACATGTGTTGAAATACATAAACTATAATGATGAAAATCCGCATATAATGACACATTATTTGACACAGCTTCCAGACTTTTCTGGTATATTACTCAAATAAATAAGTTAGTGCAGATCAATATTTGTAAATTAAAAATAAGAAATCTATTTGGTAAAATTATTCTTTTTTTTATCTGTATGCACTATTTTTCGTGGCCAGTAAAATTATTTTACACTATAATAATTTAGGACACCTGAAAGTGTTAAAATTCGTCTAAAAATATTTTACAATGTAACAATGTAGGTAAAATGCAATTTTGAACTGAACTTGTGTGTCGAAAAAGCAGTACAAATGGATCTCCTAAGACTTTCTAGTTCTAGGTTTTGGTCCTATTATTAAGGTAACCTAATTTTTAGCCATATAAACTTATAAAGTACCTACTTTACTTATCTAAAAATACTACATAATTTTATAAAAATAACACTCTTAAAAATTATTCTAAAATTAGTATGAATATGCACATTTCAAGCTCAAACTTATAATTACTGTCGACTGGCTAATTCATCTTTGACACTGTGTAATTACTCTTTGTGTTTGTAATTTGATTTGCATTAATTACACATGCCATTTGTATTTGCATGAATTAATATGCTTTTGGATAGCAATAAAATAGTCATAATTTACAACAAAACAGCTTCCTAATTGTTTTGTTAATTGATATTATTTTTGCAAAGATGTGAAATTAATGTTGTAATTTAAACTTTTTTCTTTTGGCCTTATTTTGCCGTGTGCCAAAGTGCCAAAGTGTCCAATGTTAAAAAAGTATACAGTTCTGATAGTATGTGTGTGTAGGTACGAAATTCTAATTCAAAACCAATCTATGACATTACACACGCTTTGTACGTCTAATCACGATAAATAGACAGAGAAGTATAAAATGTGGCTTAGGATGCAGTTTAAAAGTTTATACGGAATAGAATACGACTCGCAAAAATGCGTTATTATTCTATCAGAAGTTTATGTGCTAAGTGCGACCGGATCTCGACTAGGGAGATTTTTACTAAAGATAAAACGCTTTAGAAAATATTAATTTAGATATGCATGTTAATTATATTACCACGATGAAATCAATTAAAAAACGCGCGGGTTGACGTAGGTACATAAATACGTTTCAAAAACTAGATCGCACTAGTTCAAACTAACTCACGTAGGTACACGTTTAGTGGTTATTCAAATGAAAATAGCTGTTCAACAAAATAATATTGAAAATGTTAATTTAATCGACAAAGCTATGATTGATTACGGTCTGCTTACTGTTGATTAAACTTTTCTTGAAATATCATTTATGATGTATTCACCTATTGGTCTTATTTGAATTTATTTAACAACCCATTTAAATACTTGAATTTCGTTCGACAGGTAATTAATCAAATTATGGTCAATCTCAATATTATCTATCTGTCAATAGATTTCGCTATTAGAGAGTAGAGACATAAAATTAACACAAGATGTATAAGAAACTGGCAGTTAGTAAATTAGGTAAGCCCTAAACATGCGGAGGGCCTCAAATACTACCTTGGGGAACTCCTATATCACCTGTGTTTAATTTTTCATTTTAAGTATCCTCTAATATTTGTCAAATCGTTTGAAGGTGAAATCATTTTTCGTAATTATTTTCAACATAGTCACGTCAACATACATTACTATTATCAACATGTATTTTTTTGCTTTATCAATCAATAATATGACAATTCAGAAAAAGCGGTAACAGCAACGCAGTATTATCTTTAAAGCATCGATAATCAAAATGCTTTCTAACGGTGATTCAATATGATACTAACTTCTTATACAATTCCTCGATTGTTCCAACTATCGGACACTATTCTATTATTCTTCAATAGTTCATAATCATCTGTAAAGTCTGTACTAAACTTGTTAACTCTAGACGTATCTGATGGCGGATCTAAACAACTACTTAAATCCTAGAAACATGAACAAAGACCGACTTTCAGAGCGACTAAGGTTAGATCGTAGACAATAGCTTGCCCGTGAAGATCTTACAATGAGGGTTTGAGAATACACTAATGAACACAAAATGTATGCCCTGTCTACTATTTCGGTGTATTAAACTCCATAGCAAGGTGTGATGGAAAATAAAACGGGGATATTAATAGTTAATTGAGTAATAAAGTCTACGAATAAATAGACTCGTTTTGCGACTATGCCACAAATGTAAAATTACTTATTTAACCGATGCAGTTGCGTTGAGATGTATATTTTAAAATTTTAAACATATGACACAAGACATTTAAAAAATTCACCATTGGAAAAAGAAACTCTTTTTTAGTTTCTATCATCTTTAAACTTGAAATTCATTCAAGTTATTTAAACTTATCAGAAACTATTTCATTTGTAAAAGAAAACAGACTATATTCTGGACCGGTAATTTTTCTATACATTAATAAAAGGCCATCCAATTTACCTTTCATATTTTCGCCTTACACAAAATTGCTGAAAATGTACCAGCGGAATAATCAAAGTGTTCTCAAGTTGGGAAAACATTACGAGCGTCTTCCGCTAATGAGCCATGCTCGATTAGTGGGGATTTTGGCTCAAGCTAGTCTACTGCAGGAAAATGTACACTCAATTTGGGGTATTATTGTTTGAATGTGTTTTGTTCTTCTGTTTTCATTATTCCCTACCGGGTTGAATTGATGACTAGTGAAGGTAACGTACTCGTATGGTGGATGGCATAATTCTACACTCTGTTTTATCTAAGGGTTTTGCCACCAATGTATACTTTATGTTAGGTGCAATGAAACCGGTTTCTGAAGTGATGAAATCCATTCACAGAAAAATTGTACAAATTTGTTCTCATTAATTTTACTTGATATTTCGGATAATTAATTCTAATACTCTCATCATCAATTAGTGAATGTTGTAAATAAAAATAATTTATTAGATTTCTATTGCATGCTCAATTATTGAGGCTTCTTTAAAACGTAATCAATTTGTCAGAAATTATCTAACAGGCGAGAACAAAAGTTATCCATAAGTTTTTTATTCAACACAATGACTATGAAATAGCTCATTGAAGTCAAAAAGCTCTCAGAACCCCGATGATTATAGCAATCGGAAAATCATTAAATCATAATAATATCGATGTATCGATGAAGACAATGCGATTCAGACTTCTTCCATATCCGTTAGTTAATTGCATACAATGGAAGTGCTTGCTTATCTCTTTATATTACGAATGTACATATATTGATTATGGATAATGTTACTCGTATCTCCAGCTTCACTCAACTAGTTAACGCTGATTATTATCTTACTTACCATCCACTTCTAGTGTTATATCTTTCTTGTGCTTTCACATTATCTAGACCCGTTTTATCACTAAAAACCATTTCTCCTTTAAATGCAATTATTATGCTTCCCGTATTACCTTTTCTGGCTGTAGGTGTGTGAGTATTAGAGCTAATAATTCATTTTAGTGGTTAATAGTTTTGCACTGTTATTTCAAGTATAGTTAAAATTATTAAAGTATGTTTTATAGCCTTGCTTCTCTAGACATAATTCAAAACTGAATTTAAGCTGTCTCTTCTATTCAGAGGATGTATTCAAAGGTTTTAACATTTTATTATAATCTTTAAGACTAAATTAGGATTTAATGCCTAGGTTTTGTTAACTCTTTGAGTTATACAGATGTTTTATCTATAGAAATGTAAATGTATGATCATTAATAAGATCCTAACTCGTCGCTGTTATACAAGTCACACCATGTCTTTATGTTACCGCAATTAATTCGAAATCAATTTACTGACAACGTATTGTGCGGATGCAATTTGGCGTTGAGACAAAAACCCGTCTCCGGGCCGCGAATGGCTCTAACAAACGACCGACTGCCACTAATGATTCTATGTACAATATATACTTCGTATAGCTAGCCAGTAGCCACTGTAGCCACACATTTGATGCCAGTATCATTACCAACAAATTGATTCGTTGGATTAATTTTCTCTACTTCAAAGCTAATAGGATCATTAACATTACTGATAAAATGTTTAATTATAACTAGAGTACGGACTTGATGATAGACCGCTTTGAAGTGACAACTGGTGGTCCTTGTAAGTTAATTACTTTTTGATTAGGTGCGGAATGTAGAAATTGTATTATATTAGTTGGAGTACCGAATGTAACTACAATTTAGTATAGTAGTTAAAATAGTAGTAGGGATTTCCACTGTGTAGTTTCAATGTCTTTATTTAATCAATCAGTAAACATAAAACCACTAACAGCTGTTGCTGGATGCGCTATCTTGATGCAGGTTTGCTAATACTTCACCTTAAGCTGTTCCCGCTTGCTCGTTTATTTTAATGGGCAGTTTTAATCTTGAAATAAAAGCCGTTTTAATGTCATTTGCGCGGAATTTGGTAAATTAAATAAGCGATGTCCAAGGGATCCCTGGTTGCCGACAAAAACTTGTCGGCACGCGCCTTCTGTTCTAATATCCAATATAGTTTGTACTCTTGGTGTTTTTGCTCCTCTGCTGAGCCGACGTGACGCAACCGCTTGACCCTTTTATGACTGCGGGATTTTTCGAGGGCTTCGAGTTTTCGAAGTGACGACCATACGATATGGAGCCGACAGCTTTCCATACGAAATATTGGTCGCTACATTACATTTTGCTAACATCGGTAACGATACACTTTATAACACCCAAATATTAATTAGAGCAGTATATTTTATGGGGAAATCATAAAATAATAATGGCGTTTTTAATTGAGATTACAATTAAACTTACACCTTTGAATTAATTTGTTGTTGGTACCGCCTGTCTTCTTGGTGTTCATACAATCATCCTTTTTTGTGCTACTTTGCCCCGTTTACGTCATTTGGTCTTATT